AGTGCGGAAGCGAAATAAAAGGTTCTAATTAATATTCCTTACACAATAACTTAAAGTACTAATAATACCGACAATAAATTCTCTAAAGGAAAATACTGGAAATGAAAGATTATAAAAGAAACTAATAAACATTTAGGTATCTATTCGCTGTTTTCTTGTAGATCGGGTTCGGGAACCAAGTTCTCTTGATCTGAAACGGTTAAGTAAGGAATGAGGTACACTAGTCCAGTAAAGATATCACACTATATCACTGTTACAAAAGTAAAGATTGGTAAAAAAAAAAAAAAAGAACCAATAGAGCACAAGTTTCAAGTGAATTTATTTATCAATAATTAAACCATTTACCGTCCACTTATCTCAGTGGAATTTATAAAAACGACCCATGGAAACAATAACATCATAGATATCATAAGTTCATACATAATCTGTAACATAATATATCTCATACTTTTATATTTCAATCATCAAATAACAGTTGTCCCCTTTTTATCAGTCTACTAGTATCTGTGGGGATCCATAGGGGTCCCCGCTACCCGTGAACTATTCTCTTGATAAACTTAATTTACAGGGCCGTCCCTATACCCCGTCCGATATGGGTGCCAAATAATAAATCTCAATACCTCGTTCGGTATGAGAGTGAAGCGGGCCGTCCTCATACCCCGTCCGGTATGAGCGCCAAAACATTTAAGGACTCCATACCCCGTCTGGTATGAGACAACGTTCCCGGTAGGGTTCTCTATGGACCCGATCCGTCTACCATCGCTTAGGATATCTAATGAGGTTGTCAACTTATCCATTTATCAATTCATATACCTTTTCTACTTTTTTTTCTTAGTTTTCCGTTTCTCACGTAAACATGAATACTTAACAAGTAACGAGCATCCAATAAGGCAAGCATATCATCGGATTCACAAAATCAAACCATAATGAAGTAAACAGTAATTCATGCATTCAAAACCATAAAATAAATAAATCACATAGTATACTGCATTTAGACTGTAAATTAAATCAAACAGGAACTGACAGAGAAATATGTTCGGTTCGAGCTCTGCAGGCCAGTGCTCTCTTATTGGAGCAAAAAGTAGAGATATTTTCAAGTGGGTTGAAGGAGAACTTCTCTATTGGAGGTTGCATTTTAGAATCTCCATGGCTTAAAAATGGCCATGAGTCTCTCATAATGTTATTAGAGATGATCCTCATAGTTACTCAGCAGCTCCACATGCAATTGACGTTTTTTCTTGCTAAAGGACAAGCCTTCAAATCATCAGCCTCTTCTTTGTTGAACTCCAGTAGTGAAGCCGTTGTTGGCGACAGAACTGGAATGATAGTGCTCAGCATCTATTTTAACTGTGTAGAGAAGTTTGAGTTATTGTAATTGTCTTTCTGGCTGGATGT